CTGACGATTTTCGGATTCGGATGGGTCTGGTGATGATCCGAATGATTTGGCGGTGAATCGGATGAGCTAGCTGACAATATGTTGGCTGTCCTGGATGTGCTGATTTTCATTTTTTGGAGTCCAGTCACCCGGATATCTGCACGCTTGATTTTAAAAAATAGTATGTTGTGTGGAGATGCTTTCCTGTGCGATGCTTTGCAGGGAGTGTTGCGGAATACAAATTGCTTGAGGATTTGAATAATGTGACAAGTCAGCGTTACGATGATATGAAGCAGGTGGCTAGTGGTGTCGCTCAGAAGCTGTTGCAATTAAACTCAAAATGTAAATTTCTTGTTCTTTAACTTTTCTGACTGGACTAAACGGCTTATAAGCATCTATAGACATTGAAGGTTGTTTGATATTGCCAAAATAGAATGCTCTGTTCTCAGAATTTGCTGCAGGAACCGACCAGTACTCCGCAAATTCATCTTTCCTGATGATTCAGGAATTAAACGCCTAGCCAGCACATTATTCATAAAAAATGCAAGCTCATAAATGACAAACAGTGATTGTCCGTATTATGGGTTAAGTTGCTTTTCTTTCCTCTCTTAATCTCTCTGTTTTCTTTTTTTTTTTCTTGCATATCCGTCTTGCAAGTTAGTCACATGGCGATTGGGAGGCTGTACTGACGATTCCCGCTCCTAGCCGCACGCAGAGTTCGGTCTGTGTTTACAGCTAAGGGATGGTACACGAACTGTATGCTAACATGTCTTCTTACACATGACATTTATTCCAAACCCTTCTGTTCTCCTATTTTGCAAAGGCCCAGAATTTTTTTTATATGTCGTTTGGGTAGGAAATTGGAAATGCAGAACACTATCTGTAGATGAAACGCTACGCCCGTATTTGCAACAAATCGATGAAGTTGATGAAAACACTCGAAAATTGGAGGAAGCGGCTGGTATGCTGGAGCGCTACGTGACAGCTCTCGGTAAATTTTTCGTTTCCTTGTAACATTTAAATTGAATTTGGAAATAGAGGATGCTGAAACGGTGGGATATGAGAGAACCAGCAGGATTTTGTCTTATGCGGTATTTGGGCAATATTTAAACGTGGCCGATTAAAAAAATTACTGAGTTCTGATATATTCGATAGTTGTTTTCCTTTGCTGAAAGCCATCTCTCGAATATATCAGAACTCGGCAATGACGAAGCAATTTTTTGGTTGGTGTAATTTCTTGCTGCTTGTGTTTTCAAGGCATCTTTCTGGAATTACAGGCTTTTAAGGAGCAGCATTTCGTAATGTCACATCGCCTTCTTTGTAGTTTCATTTGTTGTAGTAAAAAACACTTCCATCTCTCGTTCTGTTCCATTCCTTCATATGCTGTATGAAAACTAGCCTAACGAGATCTGGACAGGCTGATTTTCTCCATTATGTGATGCAGAGAGTTGTAATACTAAGGTAAAATTTAAGAAATAGCAAACACGGGTTCGAATAAGTCTTCACATCAGGTCAGGTTAAAATTCGTTGGGTTTTCACGGAAACTAATCCCACCAATTCTTATCTTTGCATTTTTGTGATGGAATTTTATACACCTGAACGGGAGGTTTGTTTCGTGTTTTTGACCAACCTCAGAAGAATTTTTGTGATTTGGGGCATCAGTTTTATTGTATTCCTG